TATGGCACTCTGTTCATTTCAGCCACTGTAGTGAACACTTGATTTGAAACAATTATGTCCTTCAGTTCTGAAAAACTTTCTCATGTCTTTGGATCCTTCCCTCCCATTTGGTTTTCTCTTTTCTTCCTCTGAATTCCAGCAGTTAGGCGAGACCTCCTTTTTTATCCTCTCACTCTCTTATCCCTTTGTCTTAATGCCCTGCTTCTTTACAGGTTTCCTCTACTTTATCTTAACCTTTCTGAATTTCTGTCCTCCTTATTTTTCAAGAGCTCTTTGTTTGTTTTAATTTGTGTGCATTTTAATACCATTCTGTTCTTTTTTCATGGGTGCAATTCTTCTCTTTCTGAGGACATTCAATTTGTATATGTATCTATATATTTCTTTATATTGTCTTGATTTCTTTTTTTCCTGTTTGTATAGGTGTCTGACCTTTATGTTAGAAACGTAACTATTTGGTGATCCTTTGGTCTCTGTTCCTATTTAATGATGAGTCACTGGAAAACAAATGGGTCGCCGTGGTTTGTGGGCAGGGCTTCTCCGTCATAGCCTTCATTGCCAGGGCTATCAGGGGTGAGCCTTGTGGTTTCATTGGGGAACTTCCAAAGACAGTATCTGTGGATCATTTCCCTAGGGCGTGTAGGTTTTACTTGAGAGGAATCCTTCGGTCTTCTGCCTGGGCAGTGCATGCTGAGGTTCAGGGAGCTGAGTGGGGAGGAGAGCTGGAATCTCAAGGTTTAGTGTGTGGATTTTTATTCGATCCCTGTGTTTTCTACTCTGCGTGATGTCTTTGAGCCAGGGCCTCTCTGGCTCAGTTTCTTCCAGAGAATAAACGGTCTCTTGGTGGAAGGGGAGAGGATCTGGTGGTCTGTCTCCTTCTTACATAACCTTTGGAAAGTCTTTTTGTAGAAGTATAACAAAAACATAGAAAAGGCACAAATGTGAGTGTACAATTTGATGGGTTTCCACAAAGTGAACACATCCATGTAACCAGTGCCCGTATTGAGAAGTAGAATATTACTAGCACCCCAGAAGCCCTCCTTGTGCCCCTCCTCTCTGTACCCTAAAGATAGTCACTATCCTGACTTCCAACACCATCAATTAGTTTTGCCTGTTTTTGTACTTGATATAATGTACTTGTGTCTAACTTCTTTCATTTACATTTCCTTTTAAAAAGCGAAACAAAGCACATCAAGTTACATATTATCTGCTTGTACTTTATCGTGTATAGTATAAAGCCATGACTTTGATTTGTTTAAGGTGGAAGATTTTTCAGTTTTACACGGCAACAAAGATTTCTGTTTTGTTTCTTTTGCTTTAAGTGTGAGGGAGATAGGCCAAGGGGATTTGGTATGTGGGGTCTGAGCAACTGGTGAAGCTGCTGTTGTGTT